TCGCAGCTCATGACTTACCACAGACCTTTTTATTTCTTCTTTTTTTCGAGCGATTGCAAACGCCTCGATATGTGTTACATTGAACGGTACTTGCCAAGGAAAAATTTTGCGAAGAATTTAAAAGGTGCGTTTTCAAACGCAAATCGAAATACGAAAGGCTGTATTCAATCGCTTAACGTGAAATTCTCGTCAGAGGTAGTTATTAGTAATATCTAACTGTCTTTTAAATTAGAAATGATAATATTTATCTTTATAATTTTTTTTCGAATTTTTTTTCTGAGTACCCCTTTTACCTACCGGGTCCCGTAGTCCACTTAATTACGCTTCAGATAGAAATATTAAAATATTTGGAGAACATTTTGACGAGAGAGCAGCGAATTGGAAAGGCGATAACGTTCAACAAAGTCAATGATGTAGCTCGAGTTTGGTAGTGTTTCGTAAAAACCACGAGCCGGGAGATCCATATTTATGAACGATGAGGTCGCATTTTCCACGGAAGTTGCGCTGGATTCTAAAGGTCTCTACGTCCAAATATTTTCAAGTTTGTCGTATTTTGAGGACATAACTGATCTCAGAGAGGTGTGAGGCTTCTGAGGTAAGTTACGTTTCATGTTACTTTGGGGAGACCGGTATCGGAAACAACAACAAAAAAAATTAATGCACCCCTTAGGTTGAAAAGTTGGAGCGTAAGTTTTGTTACCGCTTTTTGCGTTCTCAAAGGTAAACTACAATACATCGATAAAACCCAACAACTTGCAATGATGCATCATGTTTGAAACCGAGGTACAGTGGCAACCGTTTGTAAGGTACAAGAATGTTGTGCAAAACTCTCTTGAACCCCCTTAAATAGACCAAAATGGGTGTGGCTCAGACTATGCTTCTCCCCTAAAATAGCCGATTCTTAAAAAGGCAACCAGTTCCAGGGACCACTTAATACTGGAGCTGATGTGATCTATATTGCATCTATATTGCGCGAAGTTGTATGAAATTATATACTGCCGGTAACACAATATGAGCGCGTTTAAAGTAATTTTCTTTAATAAGTGGAGAATTTTGTATGTTTAAAACATTAGATTTCCATCCTGACCACCCTAAGTGAGACTAAAGTCAGCAATTTACACTCCCAATGGAAACTAGGGTTAATAACAGATAAATTTACGTGCTGGTCATATTCGTTGGTTTAGTGCTTTTCACATCTTCAGATCTTCACGACACCTGCAGCTAATTAAATTAAGTATCAAATAGTACTTGGCGGGGAGCCAGTGACTAGCGTTTTCATACGAACTGCAACTAGAAATTAAAAAAATATATACATTCTATCTATGTGTGCGTGTATACTTATCAATCACAGAACGTGATAAGAATGTAGTAGGGATATCAATGATAAACTCCTGACTGCGGCTATAGTTTTTCCCTTTTTTCACGTTTTGAAGGTCATCATCTGTAATCTACTCCATAACAGAGGCACGGCAAAATGGCTAATCAACGAATTTTACGGAGTATTTTTAAAAAGGTGGGCGAAAACAATGTTGTAAACACGATGGAAACACAATGTACGCTGTAATTTTTTTCCCTGGCCGTTGTATTTTTGTAATTTTTGGACACTTTTGATAACGTGCTGCATTCAACAAAAAAACCGGAAGTGCAAGGACATTTCCCAGCGTGCATTGTGACGCTGCTTTCATTCCACGCTGTCGACCATGTTTTTTGTTGGACACAAATGCAAGTGAAGGTAATTGTAAAGTCTTTTAGATCTGGCTTTTTCAATCGTACAATCTTAGTGCTTTTGTTGAAGTATTGATCGTACAAGATCTATTATCCGTTTCCTCCGCGTTCAGCACACTTCTTACCCTGTTTTCTGTTGTTTTAGTATTAAGTTCTCGACTCCTGCGGGTGAGACATCAAGTCACAAGTGGGCAATGAATCCAAATAGTAGATACAACGGACCGAATATCTTACTTGAGCTCAAACAAGCCCGCGCAGATTTTCGTCAGGCTTGCCAGGGAGAAGAGCAATTAAAAAAATCACAGGTAAGCTTATAAAGAAACAATGATTATTTTTGTGAAGCAGAGTGAAAGTAAAATCGTAACGATTTGAACGAGAGAACTTTCGAAGAATATTTATATTAAGCATAGATGCTATAATAGTATCTTGTAGAATTCATATTTGGTATAGAACAACAATAATCTTTTGTACATGTATTTAAGCGACAGAGTACAACGATGAGACAAAACTGAGCAATTTCTGCCAATGATTGTCATTTTGCCGATTATTGAAAAAGATTATGTCACATTTTCTTCGATTTCTTTTTCTAGTTTCATAATTTCGTTTTTAATTATTTTTATTCTAAGAATATTAAAGTACACAGGAAGCAGAAATATTTCTTCATTCAAATTGTGTTTATAGGAACACTGTCATAAACTTGATCATGTCTCTGAATATTGTATTTTGTAAGGTTTCACTGTAGCACCTGTAAGAACGATAAACAATTACCGAGGATTAGTTTCAAACCTCTTTTCTTCCATTTGCAACCTTTATACAGCACCAGTTTCACTTACTTGAACAATGCTTATAGAATGTAACTTACAGTTACCATTAATATCATTATTATTATTATTATTATTGTTATTATTATTATTATTATTATTATTGTTATTGTTAATGTTACAATTATGTAGGAGCATCTAATTTATCAGAGCTTGTTTGAATGAAGCCCTGACATTGTTAAGTTTTCTTCATGAGTGACCAGCTGTAGATACCTTGTTAGAAGCCCCTTGTGGAAGGGACGGGAGGGGAGGGGGGTTACTTGGGATAATCTTTGTCGGGTCTCTGCCACCACTAGCCTCTCAGAACCCCTACCCCATTACAGTGGCCATATTATAGACCCCATCTTAGTCACTTTAGAAAAAACGTGATCCCAACTTAGTGACTGTCTGTTTATGCATCTACCTTATAACACCTTTTGAGCAGGTCATCCATAAATTAACTGACATGTTTGTTAAATTTAATGTGGTGTAAATCTTCCTAATACCTAATTTTTCTGACCCCCAAAATCCTGAAAACGTGCGACCCCATTCTATAACTCTTAAATAAAAGAAATATAAAAGTCAATCCAGTCGTGAAAATACGACCCCATCCAGCAGCACGTACCTGTTAGCGTACTTCTAGGAAGTAAACCCCTCCCCTTCCCTCCCCTTCCCCGGGCTGGAAGTCTGTTTAGCCTCTAAGTTTTTTTTTTGTAAGGGCAAAAAAAAAAACGATAGAGGGTTTCCCTGAGGGAACTCAAGTGAAGCGAATATTATAGGGACATGTATAAAACTTATATTTATGGATCAGACATGAAGCAGGGGTAATTCGGTTTCATAAACTTTTAACTGTAAGCTACATCTCTTTGCTGAACTCTTAGTTTGTAGTATCCTGCATTGCATGTCGTAATTGAATTGATGTCTCGTCACAGAAATGACAGAGTAAGCTGAGCTGACTAGCATATCCCTGTAGGATAACAAGTAAAAACATTAATTTGTAACTATTTTATATTAGAAAATGAGAACTCAACATCCATTTTAATGTGTATAAATAATAAAAAATTGCTTCACTTTTTTAGGCTGAGAGACACATTTGGGCTCTCAAAGGACTGTACAAAGTAGTAACCAAAAGCAATCCGCCGGACACTGAAAACGAGAGTGAATTATCGGGCCTGGAGCAAACGGAAGAAGAGACAACAAAGCAAGCGAAAGCCTTCATAAAAGAAACAAAACTAAGAAGATCTGAGAATAGTTCTGGTTCTCGATCAATAAGCAGGAAAAGAAAATTGCCCCAAAGTCACTCAAGATCAAGGACCCCAAAAATGAGCAAGGAAGATAATACAGACAACAGTCAATCGGAATCTTCAGAAAGTACAGAAAACAGCAAGAAAGATAATACAGACAGCAGTCAATCGGAATCGTCAGAAAGTACAGAAAGCAACGACGAGGAAGATGAAGAGAAGGATGCGAAACCAAATAAAAGAAACAAATTTCGTTGCCCTCTTCGCGGCTGTGGCTCCAAAGTATATAAGCTCCCTCGTCATTTAAAGAATGTGCATGGCTGGAGTGCCGAAAGAGCCAGAAATGCTGTTAATCAATTTGACATGCGCCACGACCAACGAAACTCGAAGAAGCCAAAAGAAGTGAGGAATAAGAGAAGGAGAAAAGTCTGTTGCGAGTGTGGGCGCAAGCAAAGGTATCTATCAAAACACTTACAGAAGCAGCACGGGTACATACAAGGCACAAAGAGGTATTGGAAGGCTCTTAAAGAATCCCGGCCTGTCTATCAGTCCAGTGCTTCTTTCGCTCAGAATTTTGTCGAGATAGAAGGTGACTCACCAGGTGAAGAAGCTACTGAAAAAAAAAAGTAACCAGTTCAAGGAGAGTAAAAAAAAAAATGCTGCACCTAGAGGACATATGAATGACGACACAGGGACCTTTGGGGCAACCAGTTCAACTTCGACTGTAGACAAAGTGATTGTTGTAGAATCGACAAGTGATGGTGAAGACGACCTTGAATATTTAGAGGAGTGTGCAGAAAGCGATGATGCTGTGGAGGTCCAAACTGAAGCTTGTGATCAACAAAGTAAAAGAGTATTCGAAGCGTTCGGGAAATGGATCCTTAGCCCCGATGGGGGCGAAAAAGATGCAAGGCCAGCTGCGCTAGTGGTGCGACAAGTAGAGACAATACTGTCGATAATAGGAACACAAACCGTTGAAAGCTTGTTTGACAAGGCTCTAATTCGCGACAAGTTTTATCCAGAGTCGAGAGCGTCGCATAAGGCAGCAACCACAATCAGTTATCTTCATTCTTTGCGCAAGTTTTATACGTTCGCTACAACCGAGGATGACATCGGGCTTCCCAGAGGATGTGAAAAAACGGCAGACGCCCTCTTTAAAAAATGTGGGCAGTGGTGTAAAAGTCTTCGTAAAGAGGTTAAAGAGAGATTTTGGGAGAAACAAGAAGAAGATCTTGCACGTCTTATTACCCCAGAAAAAGTTCAAGAGTTTGCTAAGTCAGAGTTTGCTCGTAATCAAGTCCCTTGACTCATTGGCGATTTGATAGACGAAGGCCAGAATTCTACACCTCTAGGCCAAATTGAGTACTGTGATTTGAGAAACTTCTTGTTCATACACCTGCTTTCCCAGAATGGGCATAGAAGCGGTGTCATAACGAACAGTACTCTAGATGAGTACAAGGAAATAAGCTGTGTCGATGAAACATACATGATATCTGTTAAAGATCATAAAACATACAGTCAGCATGGCCCAGCAAATCTCTGCTTCGATGAAAGCCTCAAAGGTTGGTTGGACATTTACGTCGAGCACGCAAGGCAGCAAGTTGTGAAGGGCGGTGGATCCACTTGCTTGTTCTTAAACTGGAAAGGAGCGAAGATGCAGAGCAGCGATCTGTCATCAGCTATAACAAGCGCCTGGCGAAAGGGTGGTATGATTGATAAGGAAACACGTATCTCAGGAACACTAATGAGGAAGTCATGCACAACAGCAATTCGACAGTACAATAAAGAGGTCAAGGGTAATGTCGCCGCACATATGGCACACACTGAACGAACTGCAGATAAGCACTATCATCTCGTGCAAAAGCGCACAAACTCCGCTTTTGCTGCTAGGCAATTGACGGCCGTAATGCATGGTAGGCCGAGTTCTCCTTCTGTACCATCACGTAGCAAAAATGATGACATCGAGCAACCTAGTATGAGAAAAGATGATTTTGATTCACCTCCTGAAGGAAAAGATGATGGTGATCTTGATGCGGTACCTGTACCTCCGGTCCGCCAGACCTGGACAAAGGAGGAGGAAAGAGCAATAAAAAGAAACCTTCGCAGATAATATCAGCCGCCAATCAATTACGTTACGGGAAGTCCTTGCTCTTAAGCGCACAAATCCACTGCTCGTAGACTGTGAAAACAAAAGACTGTTGGACAAAGTGAGAGGATTGTACAGGTTCAAGAAATCTCAGGGTTCTCTTTTTGAAGACGTGGAGGCCAGCGATTGTAATGACAATGCGAGCGACTCGAACTCAATTATAAGTCCGACTACAACTCAAGGAAAATCGAGAGTTTTTGAAGAAGAGGAGGTGATGGTCCTTTCAAAACTTTTTAAGGACTTGATTCAAGGCAGTCAAAAGATTGAATCAAAAGATGTTGTACAGCGATTAAACGAGACCGGCCATGAAGACATCATACAAAAATATTCTAAGCAGAAAGTTACTGACAAGATCAGAGGTCTTCGTGCAACTCACATCAGGCAGTGGAGAAAGTAAAGGATAGCATTCCTGATTTCATGGTGGACGATCCGAAAAAAATAAATTAAAGAAAAACTTATTTTAATAATTGAAAGACAGCAGTTGTCTCGAACAAAATGCTGTAGTTTTCTGTGTCTTCTTGGTTTTTTTTTTGCGGATCATCTGCATGAAATTTATTTCTGCCATGTTACTACTTCAAAACCACCAAAACCTACCACTTCCTACCACTTCCGAAGTTCCCTGGACCTTTGTATCAGAACGAGGGTAAGTGCTCAGCCACTGATATGGAAATGATTTTTCATTCTCATGCAAATAAAACCCACTTTCACAAAAAAGGTTGTGCCCTTAGCCTCATTTTGAAAGTGAGGGCTTTTGGAACTCAGAAGTGGCCTATAGGTTTAGGATTTTTTGTGCACTGATCACCTTGAAATTTCTAGAATGGTACTACCTCGTTAGTCGATTTTTTGGTCATCACTACCGTCGTTTATGTATACGAACAATCTGTAACGCACGGATTTATAAGTATCAAAAAACCAGTTTGATGTTACTTTTTGCGCAGGAGTGGTTTTCGATAAATTGAAACGTTTACTCGTTTTTCGTCAAACACAACAAAGGAGATCGTTGGAAACCAATGTAAACATAACAGAAACAAGCGGAAACAGCAAACGCAGAATGAAGATATGTTGTACGTTTTTGTAACTACAATGACAGTGCCAATACATAAATTACTTTTAATGTTCAACCGGAAGCCACTCTAGCGCATTTTCATATTTTTTGTCCGAAAATTCTACAATTTAACTACCCTAGTACACTGTAGTAGATTTCGTGGTTATGTTAAGGATATTTAACAATGATTCCTCAAGCCGGAATGGCCATGAGGGCGAGAGGAATAATTGTTTCAGTAAAATCCAACTAGTTGGTCAAAAATATCGAGATAAAACCACTTTAGCTAGTTAAAGCTAGACTTTAATCCTTTTTTTGCCACCAAAAAGCCGGCACTTTTCGCTACTAGTGGGCTATCACATATAGCCTAGTAGTAGCTCATTCAATCAGAACACAGCGTTGGTAATAGACCACTAGTTGGGTTTCACAAATTCTCAATAGTATTCTTGTGGCCTCTGGTGCATCAACTACCAGTTTTGCCCTCGGATGTATCAATAAAGGTTTGATTAGTGTAACCTTTTGCATCAGAGTTTCTTTCAAATTGAT